AAAGAATTAGTGACTTTCCTTAACATTTAATTGTCACTCTTTTCAGAAGTTTTAATGTATAAAAAAGCGTCTTAGGACTCNCATTGTAAAATTATAAAACTTTGTAACAAATTCATGCATTATTATCCATTTCATTTTTTTAGGAAATAAAGAGTTTTCTGCATTATCGATTTTGATTTGAGGGTTATTCCGTTGTCTATCTGTTCATCGTCAGAATCTTGTTCCTTTCCGACAACAATATGTTAGAAAAAAGACTGAATAAATTCTGTAATGTCTTTTAAGTATAATTTTCATGGATATCTCTGTATTTGATCCTATGATTTCTTCAAACCAAATCAAGGCTCAGCAAACACATGACGACTTAAAGTTTTTAAGTTAGAAATTAAGGTTTTACAAGTTTTTACTTTAATCCATTATTTTCCTCGGAGAAGTTAAATAAAACAGATTTAATCAGAACCTTCAGCGTACAATCCTAATCAGAACCTTTAGCGTACTATCCTAAACAGAACCTTCAGCGTACAATCCTAATCAGAACCATTAGCGTACAATCCTGATCAGAACCATTACCGTACAATCCTAATCAGAACCATTAGCGTACAATCCTAATCAGAACCATTACCGTACAATCCTAATCAGATCTATTAGCGTACAATCCTAATCAGATCTATTAGCGTACAATCCTAATCAGAACCATTACCGTACAATCCTAATCAGAAACATTACCGTACAATCCTAATCAGAAACATTACCGTACAATCCTAATCAGAACCATTACCGTACAATCCTAATCAGATCTATTACCGTACAATCCTAATCAGATCTATTACCGTACAATCCTAATCAGATATATTAGCGAACAATCCTAATCAGAACCTTCAGCGTACAATCCTAATCAGAACGGCTCACATACAAAAGGTAGAATTACAAAAGGTAGAATGACAAAAGGTAGAACAATCTATTTATTTTTGAGAAGGAAGAAAATTTTCTAATTTTAACAAGAAAATCCGCGAATTTTTAAAAAAAATTACAAAACTGCATTTCTCGGTTGAATTCAGCATGGAGAGGTTGGTCAACTATGGGGTGAATCAAAAGAAGAAAAGAACATTGATTGACGACCAGAAATATGAATATAATTTTGAGAAAATTAAGAATGGAACAGAGTTCAGCCAGTGGTGCAAACAGCACTGAGAACGCTCGCAAACAAAAACAGAGAGATAAACTACTAGGATTAAAAACATGACTGAGATGTATAATAATATCCCTGCACCAGACTATATGAAACAGCTTGCCAAAATTATTGCCATGGATTAAAATCATTTACATTTGTAAAATAAAAATTAGTCCTATTAAATAAGAAACATTATTTTTTGATTTTTTTTTGACATTTAAAAAAAATTTATTTTTATTTTACCTTTTGAACATTCTACCTTTTGTTTGTTCTACCTTTTGATCGTTCTACCTTTTGTCGTTCTACCTTTTTTCATTCTACCTTTTGTAATTATACCTTTTGTAATTCTACCTTTTGTAATTCTACCTTTTGCACTGGAGCCATCAGAACCATTACCGTACAATTAAATCAGAACTATTAGCGTAACATCCTGAACAGAAACATTGGCGTACAATCCTGTTCAGATCCATTAGCGTACAATCCTGTTCAGATCCATTAGCATGCAATACTAATCAGATCCATTAGCGTACAATTCTGAACAGAAACATAAGCGTTAAATCCTAAACAGAAACATTAGCGTAAAATCCTAAACAGAACCTTTAGCATATACTCCCAAACAGAAATATTAGCGTAAAACTCTAAACAGACTATCATAAAAGAAATATTTTGTCTTTGTTGGAATATTAGATTGAATATCCTTTTTCTTTCTTTACTAAAAAATGACAATAAAATACAATTTTGTATTCAAATAAAAAATATTTATTTTTATAAGTATATTTAATATTACTGCAGGAAAGTAATGCTTTACCAAGATGGTAAATAACATTTTTATTAACAACTATAAAGTTGTCGCATATGCAACAAATTAAACATTTCTTGAAATCAAATCTTTCTGGATGAGATTTGCTTAAATATAATGGCGTCATATGCGGAATTCACAACGGAACCCTTTCTGAAAAAAATCAAATCTAATTGCTACTTTATGCAGCAGATGCAAGGAAAAAATGGACAGAATGGAGATATTTCTCATTGCTACGTACTTAAATAATAAAGGGAACCACTGTGAATCTGTAACTGTTCTTACGGAGATCTGTATTTAGAAATTAGTTAACAATCCCTTTAATTATCTTATTATGAGAAACATAATAGTTGGATATTTTATATTGTTTAACAATACACGATACAATAATGAAAGCCATTGTGAAAGGCATTTATTGAGTAAAGTATGATTTAAAAAATATGAATTCACATAAACATAAAAGCATAAAGGGACTGCAGTTAGCGTAATTTCAAGTGACCTAATGCAACGATTTATCAAAAGGTTCGTCTTTTTATTTTTATTTGTGGGTTTTCTGCAAAAGGGACCTGCGCATTGCTTTCTAATATGAAAAAGTGGAAAAAATTATCATAAACAAACATTTTTTGAGTCAGATAAACGACGTTATCTTCCGCATTTTCGATCAGATATTAAGGTCTAATGTATCCTTGTATATCAGATATTAAGTATTATCATCTTTGCATAAAGTCCTTACAGTCCTTTTAAAGTCTCATCCTTTTGGGTAACCCTGGAGAATAGAGAGATTCAGATAAAAATAATATTTATTTTCCCCAGCTTCCTATATTAAAAAGATAAAAGAAGAAAAACGCAATAATATGCTCTTTGATGTCGTATATTGTAAAAAAAAATAGTACAAAAGGGTGGTAATTAATTCGAAAATTTATGTTTCAAAGAAACTTAAATTTTGTACACTTACTACATTGGTTCCGTTGATTTTATATTTTCTGTACGATTCAATGTACGTACGTAGATACATTTATCTTCCAATTTTTAATTGGACGCATCTTCGTTATTTTCGGTATTTGTTCAAATTGTGGAAAGATTTGAGTATTGAGCATAGACAAACTCGCCAACTTATCTCACGAAACTTCGATTCCAAGAGGAAGTGGAGTTTATACAGTACATATACTGCAGGAGCTGCAGAGGTTTGTTTTAAACTTTAATTATGGAATATATATATAGATTATATATTTAGTAGGAATTTTGCCGGCGTACACATCAATACTTAATGATCAGAGAGATAGATATTAATTTCCCCCCTAAATTGAAATAAAAAATACATAAGTAAACAAAGGAAGCACAGGAAAAATAACTTGTTATAAGAATACTTACACAAACAACAGCTTGCCTGCTGTACTCAGTACACTAAACCTCTATGAATATCTACTCTCTAGTCTGTGGTATTGAGTAACCGAAACAAAACATTCTTTTTCAATTTACAAAAAGTATCAGCAAATATTCATGCTAATGTTAAATTTAGTTCTTTCAATCAAACTACCTTCAAATGTGGGATTATCTCAAGGAGGCATGATTCTGATAGTTTATAGTAATAAACCAAACAAAGATTATATCAATAATTTAGCATTTCTTACAAGAATTCAGATGGTTCCCGTTGTGAAAGCTCTCAAGCGAATGATAAAAAGTTCAAAGACATGGATCTGTTTAAAATGGAAAAGCTTACATGAAATACTCGGATTTGCTCATTCTTGACATTCAAATTTGCAGATTTTCTTGCAAACATTTTAAGTATAGTTTTTTTAATTTTTCAAACAAATTGAAAAAAACTCATAAAATAACTGGAAACAGCCATTTAAAAATTGTCTAGATTCTTAGAACACCCTGGCTGTAATCATACTTTACAAAGAAACTAAACACTGGATACAAATATAACTTTCTAATCCTGATGCCTTTGCAACCTCATGTCGTTTACCTTCGATATTTCCAACTATGAATTCTGTTAAACTATAAGATTGCAAGTCAACCCGGAAGTAACGTAAACACTCTTCACTAAACGCTTCTATGTGTTCGGTCAGTGTACTGTAAATTACTGCACAACACAAAGAAAGCTTGTTTGAGGTGTAAAATACATAAAAAGTTCTCTTTGTGAATCAAATTCAGATTTTCAATTCTACATTTCATTTAAATGCAGTTTTATTAAAAACTTTTTATTTTATGTCCTTTCTGCGTCCAGAAACCAATGCTGGTCATTTTCTCAATTAAGGCGAGAAAAACGAAATTAAACAAATTTGTAAAAACATTAAAATCATAATCATTTTGCATATAATTTACAGAAAGTTATATTTTGTTTTTACTAAAAACATAAAAGCAATGAATTCTTCTGTATAATTAAAGGGAATAATTATGTTGAACTTGAAATGTTTTTAGAACAATTATTGCACTTCATAACAGGCAGAAAATAATACTTTCAATAACACTTTATGGAACTTCACAAACGTTTTAAATTTAGCATGAAAACAAACAAATTTCTGCTTCATTAATAATACAGCTTTATCGGAATTAGTTTAGGGTTTTTATAAAAAAAGTCATTATTATGCATTAGAAATCTCAAGAACCCATGACAAAATGAAACTAAATCTATAATCTGATAGTGGGAGATTTAATATTTCAGCCTGTACAATCTGCAGAATCATACAGTCTCAGTTCGAAATATCTTAGGTTGCTAAGATATAGGGAATAGAAATTGGTAGAGTTAGTAGTGAGTAATCAGTTTCTTTAAAGAAAACAAACTAGAGATTGAATTTATTTTTATGATTGCTATTGATTTAGGAATACAGGAAGTGCTACTATTTTTGAAGGGAAAATATTTTGAGGGTAAAAAAGTGGAAGAAAAACTTGACTTGGACAAAAATATTAAATCTATTAACAAATAGTAGCAACTGATGCTTTTACCTCCTTTCAAAGATCGGAGAAAGTCAAAAAAAAATTCTTGCAAAAGAAATTTCTTAGAATAAACTTATCCTTAATTTTGTTAAGGTTGTTGAAGTACTCTCTAAGCATGCTGGACTTTGGATAACAAGAAATAAAGAAGTCATGTACTCACAGGTTAGTTCTAAACAGGTGTACTCTCAGGTTAGTACGGTACAGTGTACTCACAGGTTGTACTGTACAGTGTACTAACAGGTTAGTACGGTACAGTGTACTCACAGGTTAGTACTGTACAGTGTATTCACAGGTTAGTACTGTACAGTGTACTAACAGGTTAGTACGGTACAGTGTACTAACAGGTTAGTACGGTACAGTGTACTCACAGGTTAGTACTGTACAGTGTATTTACAGGTTAGTACTGTACAGTGTACTAACAGGTTAGTACGGTACAGTGTAATAACAGGTTAGTACGATACAGTGTACTCACAGATTAGTACTACTAGAAAGTGTACTCACAGGTTAGTACTGTACAGTGTACTCACAGGTTAGTACTGTACAGTGTACTCACAGGTTAGTTCTGAACAGTGTACTCCATGGTTAGTACGGTACAGTGTACTCACAGGTTAGTTCTGAACAGTGTACTCTAAAGTTAGTACAGTACAGTGTAATCACAGGTTAGTACTGTACAGTGTACTAACAGGTTAGTATGGTACAGTGTACTAACAGGTTAGTACGGTACAGTGTACTCAAAGATTAGTACTACTAGACAGTGTACTCACGGGTTGATACTGTACTGTATACTCAAAGATTAGTACTACTAGACAGTGTACTCACGGGTTAGTACTGTACTGTGTACTCACAGGTTTGTACTGGACAGTGTACTCACAAGTTAGTACTATACAGTGTACTCACAGGTTTGTACTGTACAGTGTACTAACAGGTTAGTACGGTACAGTGTACTCACAGGTTAGTATCGTACCATTTACTCAGCGATTAATACAGTACAGTGTACTCACAGGTTAGTTCGGTACAGTGTACTCACAGGTTAATACGGTACAGTGTTCTCACAGGTTAGTATTGTACAGTGTATTAACAGGTGTGTGCAGTAAAGTGTATTTACAGGTTAGCACGGTACAGTGTACTCACATGTGGTACTGTACAGTGTAATCACAGTTTGATACTGTATAGTGCAATCACAGGTTGGTACTGTAAAGTGCAATCACTGGTTGCTATTGTAAAGTGCAATCACTGGATTATACTGTACATCGTGATCACTTGCTAGTACTGCAAAATGTACTCACAGGCTTGTGCTGCACTGTGTACTCACAGTGTACAGTGTACAGTGCAATGACAGGTTGGTACTGTACAGTGCAATGACAGGTTAGCACTGTACGGTGCAATCACAGGTTGGTACTGTACAGTGAAATCACAGTTTAGTACTGTACGGTGAAATCACAGGTTGATACTGTACAGTGAAATCACTTTTACTGTTAGTTTCTTAATCTATGGAAAACTTGAACCCTGAGAGAAGAAAAATGCAAAAACGAGGTTCGTTCCCTTTACGATTTTTGCATAGCTTTGTAAAAGTAAAAAATTACAGAATTAATGCAGTTTAAAAAATCGAATCCTTAGAAAATATTTTAAGGTTCAAAAGCTCTTTTCCTTTAAAAATCCGTACTGTACTGTACTATACAGAACACATTATATGCCTTGGTTTGTATGAATTAGTGACTTTACAGAGCATTTTTATATAACTGTAGGGGGCTCACCATTTTCCCTCCTTCCTTAACTTTAATATAATAAATATAAATGTATAGATGAGAGCGTGAAACAAAAAAACAGATGCAGGAAATAATTGGTCTTGCTCCCATATAACTTATTGGAAGATAATACAGTCTGTTTTTATAATAATATAAAAGAGAAACTAAAATAAAATTTATTGCAAGAACATAGAGAATATTTTAAATACGAATGGGGTGATCAAAACAGCCCACGAACTAGTTTTCACAAAAATAAAAACCAAAATAAAAGTTTTCTGTATTTCACGGTTCACCCGTCCGATATTGTTTACCTATATAAACTATATTTTTAAAAAGGATCTACATATTAATAAACAATCTTCAATATGAATGAGCTGAATGATTTGGGTATGAATCGATGTTTTGCGGATATCCCTGAGAATGTTTAATTTCAAATATATTTTTAATCATACCAGACATTATATTTACTGTTTAGATGTCTACATCTCAAAATATGTCAGGTCTGTTATTAAGTAATAATTATCTTAAAGAATAACGAGGGTCCAAGTAAAGCAGACGTGACACTTGATGGTCAAATTTTGAAAACCAATGCTTTGGACCATGATAGTTAAAATTGTCTTTTAAATCTTTTTCAAAATCTTTATTTTTAGACTACACATATAAACTTCATGTATATTCAATCTACACATATAAACTTCATCTATATTTAGGCTACACATATAAACTTCATATATATTCAGTCTACACAATAAACTTCATCTATATTCAGTCTAGACAGATAAACTTCCTCTATATTTAGGCTACACATATAAATTTCATATATATTCAGTCTACATAAAAAACTTCATCTATATTCAGTCTATTCAATAAACCTCATCTATATTCAGTCTACAAAGATAAACTTCATATATATTCAGTCTAGACATATAAACTTCATCTATATTCAGTCTACACAATAAACCTCATCTATATTCAGTCTACACATATAAACTTCATATATATTCAGTCTACATAAAAAACTTCATCTATATTCAGTCTATTCAATAAACCTCATCTAAATTCTGTCTACAAAGATAAACTTCATATATATTCAGTCTACACATATAAACTTCATCTATATTAAGTCTACACAATAAACCTCATCTATATTCAGTCTACACATATAAACTTCATCTATATTCAGTCTATTCAATAAACCTCATCTAAATTCAGTCTACACATATAAACTTCATATATATTCAGTCTACACAATAAACTTCATCTATATTCAGTCTATTCAATAAACCTCATCTATATTCAGTCTACACAGACAAACTTCATCTATATTCAGTCTACACATATAAACTTCATCTATATTCAGTCTATTCAATAAACCTCATCTAAATTCAGTCTACACATATAAACTTCATATATATTCAGTCTACATTATAAACTTCATCTATATTCAGTCTATTCAATAAACCTCATCTATATTAAGTCTACACACATAAACTTCATCTATATTCAGTCTACACAATAAACCTCATCTATTTTCAGTCTACACAATAAACCTCATCTATATTAAGTCTACACATATAAACTTCATATATATTCAGTCTACACAATAAACTTCCTATATATTCAGTCTACACAGATAAACTTCATCTATAAATAGGCTATTATGCATTTCAACTTTATCTATATTTAGTCTACACAGATAAACTTCATCTATATTTAGGCTACACATATAAACCTCATCTATATTTAGGCTATGCATGTAAACTTCATCTATATTTAATATTAAGACTACACATATAAACTTCATCTATATTTAGGCTACACAGTTAAACTTCATCTATATTTAGGCTACAAATATAAACTCTTTAGGCTACACATATAAACTTTACTTTTTTTTAGGCAACTCATGTGTAAACTTTATCCATATTAAGGCTACACATGTATAAAATTCATCTGTAGTTAGGCAACACATATAAACTTCATCTGTATTTAGGCAACACGTATAAACTTCATCTGTAGTTAGGCAACACATATAAACTTCATCTGTAAGGCAGGACATAAAAACTTCATCTGTATTTAGGCAACACATATAAACTTCATCTGTAGTTAGGCAACACATATAAACTTCATCTGTAAGGCGGCACATAAAAACTTCATCTGTATTTAGGCAACACATATATAAACTTCATCTGTATTTAGGCAACACATATAAACTTCATCTGTCCAATGAGGTTCGACACGTTTCCCCTGGATACCCAGGTAAAATCAAAATTAAAAAAATTATTTTTGATTTTGAAAAAATATAAATAAATTTTGTTGTTAAGGCGTGTAAGTTCCAAGTTGGATCCTATTCCTACGAGCATTCAAAGATGATTTTCACTCAGACGAACAAAGTTCAAGGGTAAGTCAGATGCGTTTTTATTACAAAACTAACTGAAGTGCCCGGAGGCGTTGCCCGTGAAAATAAAAAAATCTGATTTTCCAAAAAACTATTTTTTAAAAAAAAATTCTATTTTTTTCAAGCCTATGTTACCTCCAGCGTACCAATGGGTTCCTTAAAGAAAGTCAGCCAATTTGGTCCAGCCATTTGGCCAACTGTAGCTGACATATATAATATATGAGCGTAAAGCTTTATTATAAAGAAGACTAGCTGAAGTGCCCGACGTTGCTCGCAAAATAATTACTAGTATATTTAAATGAGCGAAGAGCTTTATAATATATAGAGAAAGAGTATTTTAATTAAGCCAATACAAGTTAAGAAATTCTAATAAAAATCTGTCATAAAAGATAAAAACTAATTTAATTCGGATTATATTTCAAATTCTTTTTAAATCAAATAAACAAGATTTTTTTCATTCTAATCGTTGTAAATGTTTAAGATTAAAGAAGATTTCAAATTTCTTTGTAAACTATGATTATTTAAGACTTCTTTTTTGAAAAAAAGAAAAATTTGAAATAGATCAGATTTTTGCTTTCTATGAATTCTACCAAAACTGTACATTAAAAATATTATTACTACGTTTATAGTACGGTTGAAAAAGAGCATTTACTATCTATCTATCTATCTAAACCTAACTAGCATAACATGGAAAAGTAAAATCATTTAAAAATTACGGAAAAGCAAAAATTAAATACGGATTTAATTTAAAAATGAATAAAAAATATCTTCAAATCAAAATAAATTATCATTACTAAACCAAAAATGATTTTTTGCCTTTTATGTAGTGATCCTAAGTTTTATTTACAACCTTGTGAGAAGTTATAAAGACAACACCGGGATTCTTTTCAAAAAACTTTTAAGGTTTTGAAATTTTTAAAAGAAGAAGTTTTAATTATTTCAAAATTAAGATTGATCTCTTTAAACTATGCCCAAATTTGAACCCTCAGAGAAGAAAAATGCAAAAACGAGGCTCATTTTTTCTCTGTTTCTCTCTTAGGATAAGAATTTTGCATAGCTTTGTAAACTATTACAGAATTAATTCAGTTAAAGAATGGAACCTTTAGAGATATTTAAAACTAAAATATAACCACCAAGTTATTTCACCTCTGCACTACACTGCATGAGTTATAAGAATTCAAAACTTGTTATGTGTACTGCATTATTGCAAGAAACACCATGTCAGCAAAAGCAGCAAAAGAAAATGTTCTGAGCTTATTTATAAATAAGTTATGTCTATATATATAAAATATATATATCCATGGGTTCCGAGTACCGCATTCAATATTCATTAATTCATTACCCCTCTTTTAAAAACAGTTTTCTTTTCATAGATATGTGAAGACTCAAACTCCATGTTACTTAAAGGGACCATTCACTTATTTGGGTAATTTTGGGGTAAAGCTATTTAAGCTTATTAGCTATTGATTAGTATTGGTCTTAACTTATCAAAGATAATTGTGGCCGGAGAAAAAGCCAATTTTTCGTTCAGAATTCGAGCGCAAAGGGACGGTCTCTTTGTCTATACACTATTTAATGTTTTCTGTCGATGTCATGGATTAAAAAAAAAAATCGATTATAAAATTAAACTTTAGTATCTAATAGTTAATCGATTATAAAATTAAACTGTAGTATCTAATAGTTAATCGATTATAAAATTAAACTGTAGTATCTAATAGTTAATCGATTATAAAATTAAACTTTAGTATCTAATAGTTAATTGTAAATTTCATTTTTTAACTTTCTATTTCTAACATAAACTTTTTTAGCGCATTGAACATTTTTGTATTGCTTTTCTGAAAAGTGCTGAATAGAACGCGGCATGAAAAATGAAAGGTGCGCGCATACGGTTACGGGATTATACATTATAATTGGGTAGTTGATAATAAATTAGACGACTGATTGAGGGGCGTCATCATCCGAGGGGGGGGGGGGGCGTAACTAGGATTTTCGATTTCGCAGAGAACGCTGTCTTTGTATATATACATTTTACTCGTTTTAATACGAAAAACGTAACTAACTCAAATATCAAAAGTTTTCATAGTTTAGTATAAAATAGCTAACACATAATGGCATTGAAATATGATGAATTAAATTTTTTTGGCTGTGTTGCTAAAAATGTCTAGTTTAGTGTTTCAGACAAAGGAACAGTCCCTTTGTGCTCGAATTCAGAACGAAAAATCGACTTTTTCTCCGGTCACAGTTGTCTTTGAAAAGTAAGACTGATACCAATTAACAGCTAATATGCTGTTTAGTTCACCATGAAATTTCCCAAATATGTGAACGGTCCCTTTAAGTTCTAAAAATTCAAAAATAAATTATGAATATATCTATATATATCTATATCTATTGGTCTTAAGTACCCCTTCCTATAATTACGAATCACAAAATCTCTTTTAAAAATAGTTTTATTTTCATAGATATGTGAAAACAGCCAATTCCGTGGTACTGGACTACGCAGTTAAAACAGAGGTAGAGTTTTCAACTTTTAAAGCGAAGGTTAATTTTACTTTTTAATTTATCTACATGGAAAAATTATTCTGTAACTTAAAAGCTTTTTTATCCTTTTCTTTTGCCAGTAGGGGGAGAATCTTTTTCTNCATTTGTCAAAGTGCATAAAATAAGTTAATTGCTTAAAATTATTGATAATTGAAAACTGATAGAGGGCTATATCTATCTATATATCTATATCTATACAAAACACATACTTTTGGGTAAAACAAGAAATATATTTTCTCTTTTGAAGTTATTACAAAGTCAGGGGATGAAAGTTTCAAACTCAAGTGTTTTAGAAACTATTCTTGCCACAAAATCAAATTTTTTAATCCCTAACTAGCTCTTTGCAACGCAATGTCGTAGATCTTTGATATTTCAAACTATGAATTATGTTAGATCAAATAGTCTATAAATCAAATATCATTGGTTTACACAATAAGGTTACAAATAAAAAAGCAATTTAAGTTTGTGGTAAAACCTCAATTCTTTTAATTTAAATAAACTATTCCCAAGAGATGGGACCAAATCAGGGATTGGAACTTTTTTCCCTTGGAATTTAAATAATTTTAGTTTGTTTAGCCCTTAAAAGGCGAGGATTTAATCCTGGATTACGGTGATCTTGGGAACTTCAGTGTTGCTGGGTTTGAGATGGATCTTCATAGACATGTGTCTCATTATCTCATCACATACTACCTTCCTTCAGGTAGTACCTTCCCTTCCATTAGGTAGAACCTACCATCCCTAACATAGTACCTACCTTCCTTCAGGTAGTACCTACCTTCCTTCAGGCAGTACTTACCTTCCTTCAGGTAGTACCTACCTTCCTTCAGGTAGCTCCTACCTTCCTTCAGGTAGCTCCTACCTTCCTTCAGGTAGTACCTACCTTCCTTCAGGTAGTACCTACCTTCCTTCAGGTAGAACATACCTTTCTTCAGGTAGCTACTAACTTCCTTCAGGTAGTACCTATTTTCCTTCAGGTAGTACCTACCTTCCTTCAGGTAGTACCTATCTTCCTTCAGGTAGTACCTATCTTCCTTCAGGAAGTACATATCTTCCTTCAGGTAGTACCTTACCTTCCTTTAGGTAGAACCTTCCATCCTTCAGATAGTACCTACCTTCCTTTAGCTAGTACATATCTTCCTTCAGGTAGTACCTTCCCTTCCTTTAGGTAGAACCTACCATCCTTCAGGTAGTACCTACCTTCCTTCAGGTAGTACATATCTTCCTTCAGGTAGTACCTGCGTCCTACCTTCATTCAGGTCAGGTAGTACCTACCTTCCTTCAGGTAGTACCTACCTTCGTTCAGGTAGTACCTACCTTCCTTCAGGTATAGTACCTACCTTCCTTCAGGTAGTACCTACCTTCCTTTAGGTAGTACCTACCTTCCTACCTTGATATATGTTTGTTGTTATATCCTTGATATATAATGTTGTCCTATTTGTTGTTGTAGTTGTATCCTGGATATATATAATGTTTTTCTAGGTTTATTTGATGTTGTATCCTGGATATAAAAAATGTTGTCCTAGGACTTTTTGATGTTTAATCCTGGATATATATAATGTTGTCCTAGGACTATTTGATGTTGTATCTGCGATATATATAATGTTGTCCTAGGACTATTTAATGTTGTATCCGGGATATATATAATGTTGTCCTAGGACTATTTGTTGTTGTATCCTGGATATATATATATATTGTTGTCCTAGGACTATTTGTTGTTGTATCCTGGATAAGCTTTGTAGTCCCTCCTGACGTTATCCCGGGACGGATGGCGTTATTGATCACCTTGTTCCTGGTGCTTGTCAATATATTCAATACAGTCACCAGTAACACACCTAAAGCTGAAGGTAAGAGCAGTTAATTTCAAGTTAATACTATTTGCTTTATAACACCATGAATGAAAATGCTAAAATGTCGTCTTCCTATTCTGCAGTTTTTTGTCTCATTTTACAATTGTTTTTCTGCTACAGGATGTTCCAAAGTATGTGAATTAAGTATAGAGTCTTTTTTATCGTTTTTGATTCAGATGGCATTATTTTGTGAGAACATTAATAGCTGTGTATACCATTAGAAACTCTTGTTCTCGTCATTTCCAAAATGAGGCCTTACGTTTTATTAACCCGTCATAATTAACGGTGTTGTTGTTAAGAAATTTTTCCACGGACCAGGATCAATGAAAAGCGCGATGTGGGTCAACTTAGCCAACGCGGTTAAGCTACTTCTCGTTTTTTATTAGAAAGAGTCCAGGATTTATGTAGATCAATAAATCAAAACCATTTATTAATTTTAAAGGTACAAAGAAAGTATGATTTATAAACCATGTTTAAGAAAGCTAAAAAAACGTCCGATTTTATGTATAACAATTTTTGGTATTTTAATATCAACTGTATTAGAGATGATTTTATTGTCGTCTTAAATTCCCATGTTTCTAAGAACACCCTGTATTTCTAAAGCGGGTATAGCTTTGATTTTTGTACAGATATCAATATTCAATATAACTTCTTTATTCTCTTGAACATCTTTTTCAAACAAATTTCACAGATTTAACAAGAGATTTTGTTCTTGATAACCTTACAGACATCCCGACCCATCCGATTTTGATCTATTATGAGACGAAGCCAATATATAAGATTTACATGTAGATGATTTCCCGACCTAATCCACTCATGTCCAATATATATGTATAACTAGAAGTTGAACTAGAAGTTGAACTAGAAGTTGAACTAAAAGTTGAACTAAAAGTTGAACTAGAAGTTGAACTAGAAGTTGAACTAGACGTTGAACTAGAAGTTGAACTAGAAGTTGAACTAGAAGTTGAACTAGAAAAATTTGGTATCTTATTTGTAATTTTAAAACACAAAAAAAGCAGTTTAATAACACATACCTATGCTAATAAATGTGAGGTCCTATTTAATTGCTGAATTTTTGCAATTTATAATAAGACATTTGGCAGAAAAGATTTGAAATTTTGCCACAAAATCTGACTTTCAAATCGCTATATCTTTGCAATCCAATGTTGTAAATGTAGACATTTCCAAACTACGCATTTTGTTAGATCAAATTATCTAAGTTTAAAGTATTAAAGGTTTACGCCATGAGATATACAAAAATATAGGGATGGCAAATTTGAGTTTGTGGCAATGACTCTATTCCTTTCTAGTATGAAAGTCTACAGGTTTACAGCTTCAACTAGCCGGAAATAAAATTGGTTTCAATTTCCTGTTTTAACATGTTGAAATGTTATAAACCAAGTTTAAACTTGATGCAATGTATCCAGTGTATCTCTTCAGGGGATATATTTATACCAGCCGTCTTTTATTAATGCCATTTAGAAACACATAAAAATAAACAAGATTTTTAAGCATTACTAATATTATTTCTTAACATGCTCTAAAGAATTCATTTGAATACAAAGGAAACTGAGTTTTTGCCACAAACTTAAATCTACTTATCTTTCTTATCTTTGTAAATCGTTGATATTTTAAGTTTTTTGATCTTACAGAATTTTTTGTTTGAAAAATCAAACACAGGATTGAAAAGATATAGAGATTAAAAAATCAGAGATTGAAGCAAAAACTCGTTATCAATTCCTTTTCATGTTGATATTCAAGAAAATAAGGTTTTGATCAAACCCATTCTTCAATAATGTAAAACAATGTATTCAATTTTTCCAGATTTAACTTGACATGATTAACAGAACAAATTACTGTGCTATCATATTTAACTTGACTTCTAATCATTGAACTGGAAATAAAGAAATCTCTTGAATGTTTTGCAAGTGTCAACTTTGTCAAAACTTCATGACACGGTTGATGGCGTGTTAAAAGTTTTAAGTTTCTTGATTCTCTCCATAACTTTTCTAGTTCAGGTTTAGGTTTATGGTCCGGTCTAGGTTAGGGACAGGGTTAAGGTTAAAGGAACCGTTCACTTGTTTGGGTACTTTCATGGTAAACTAAATAGCCTAGTTGCTATTTATTGGTATTAGTCTTACTTTTCAAAGATAACAAAGGTCAGAGAAATAGGCAATTTATCGTTTAGGCAAACGTATGATACCTTTGCATAGACACGATTTAAATTTTTTTTTTCAGTAACAACAGCCCTATACAATCTAAAAATATCATATTTCAATGACATCATGTGTCAGCCATTATGTAAAAAAATATGAACATTTTTAATCTTAGTATTAACAAGAAATTAGCATTTTTCATGTTCAAACATAAATTAACATGTTCATACAAAGACGACCTGCTATCTCCTTCAAACCGGTTTCTAGATCCCAACTCGGGTTTCTGGGGATTCTGGGGAAATAGGGAAAACGAATCAATCCGTCAAATGCTTAAAATAAGATATATTTTGATAAAAAACAATTTTTAAATAACTTGAAAAAAAATAAAGATATGAAAAATTAACTATTAGATAATACAGTTTAATCTAATATTAGAAAGTTTTTAAAAAACCATGATAAAAAGCATCAAATAGTGTAATGCAAAGATATCATACCTTTTCATTGGTATTCTGAACGAAAAATCGTCTTTTTCTTCGAAAAGTAAGACTAATGCCAATGAATAGCTAATAGGCTATTTAGTTTTCCCTAAAATTACCTAATTAAGTGAACGGTCTCTTTAAGGATTATAGTCAGGTCTAGTTTTAGAACATAAATAAAAAAGGAGAAAAATTTCCAATTAAACTGTTAAATAAGTAGAATATTTGCAAACTAAACTGTTAAATAAGTAGAATATTTGCAAACTAAACTGTTAAATAAGTAGAAAATTTGCAAACTAAACTGTTAAATAAGTAGAAAATTTGCAAACTAAACTGTTAAATAAGTAGAATATTTGCAAACTAAACTGTTAAATAAGTAGAATATTTGAAAACTAAACTGTTAAATAAGTAGAATATTTGCAAACTTAACTGCTAAATAAGTAGAATATTTGCAAACTAAACTGCTAAATAAGTAGAATATTTGTAAACTAAGCTGCTAAATAAGCTGAATATTTGCAAACTAAACTGCTGAATAAGTAGAATTTTTGCAAACTAAACTACTGAATAAGTACAATATTTGCAAACTGAACTGCTAAATAAGTTGAATATTTGCAAACTAAACTACTAAATATGCAGAATATTTGCAAACTAAACTGCTTCATAAGTAGAATCTCTGTTAATTGAACTTCTAAATAAGTAGAATATTTGGAAACTAAACTGCCAATTATGCTAAATATTTGCAAACTGAACTGCGAAAAAGTTAGAATATTTGCAAACTAAACTGCTAAATAAGCTGAATATTTGCAAACTAAACTGCTAAATAAGTACAATATTTGCAAACTAAACTGCTAAATAAATAGAATATTTGCAAACTAAACTGCTAAATAAGTAGAATATTTGTAAACTAAGCTGCTAAATAAGTTGCAAACTAAACTGCTGAATAAGTAGAATATTTGCAAACTAAACTGCTAAATAAGTAGAATATTTGTAAACTAAGCTGCTAAATAAGCTGAATATTTGCAAACTAAACTGCTGAATAAGTAGAATATTTGCAAACTAAACTGCTGAATAAGTAGAATTTTTGCAAACTAAACTACTGAATAAGTACAATATTTGCAAACTAAACTGCTAAATAAGTAGAATATTTGCAAACTAAACTGCTAAATATGCAGTATATTTGCAAACTAAACTGCTTCATAAGTAGAATCTCTGTTAACTGAACTTCTAAATAAGTAGAATATTTGGAAACTAAACTGCCAATTATGCTAAATATTTGCAAACTGAACTGAGAAAAAGTTAGAATATTTGCAAACTAAACTGCTAAATAAGCTGAATATTTGCAAACTAAACTGCTAAATAAGTTTAATATTTTCAAACTAAACTGCTATGTAAGCTTAATATTTGCAAACTAAACTCGTAAATAAGCTGAATATTTGTAAATCAACTGCTAAATAAGTAGAATATTTGCAAACTGAACTGCTAAATAAGTTGAATATTTGCAAACTAAACTGCTAGATAAGTAAAATATTTGCAAACTAAACTGCTAAATAAGCTGACTATTTGCAAACTAAACTGCTGAATAAGTAGAATATTTGCAAACTGAACTACTGAATAAGTTTAATATTTTCAAACTAAACTGCTATGTAAGCTGAATATTTGCAAATCAACTGCTAAAGAAGTTTAATATTTGCAAACTAAACTGCTAAATAAGTAGAATATTTGCAAATCAACTGCTAAATAAGTAGAATATTTGCAAACTTAACTGCTAAAGAAGTTTAATATTTGCAAATTTAACTGCTAAAGAAGTAGAATATTTGCAAATTAAACTGCTAAATAAGTTGAATATTTGCAAACTAAACTGCTAGATAAGTAAAATATTTGCAAACTAAACTGCTAAATAAGCTGAATATTTGCCAACTAAACTGCTAAATAAGTTTAATATTTTCAAACTAAACTGCTATGTAAGCTGAATATTTGCAAATCAACTGCTAAAGAAGTAGAATATTTGCAAACTAAACTGATAAAGAAGTAGAATATTTGCAAACTAAATTGCTAAAGAAGTTTAATATTTTCAAACTAAACTGCTAAAGAAGTTTAACATTTGCAAACTAAACTGCTAAAGAAGTTTAATATTTCAAACTAAACGCTAAATAAGCTGAATATTTGCCAACTAAACTGCTAAATAAGTTTAATATTTGCAAACTAAACTGCTAAATAAATAGAATATTTGTAAATCAATTGCTAAATAAGTAGAATATTTGCAAACTAAACTGCTAAAAAAGTTTAATATTTGCAAACTAAACTGCTAAATAAGCTGTTTATTTGCAAACTAAACTGTTAAAGAAGTTTAATATTTGCAAACTAAACTGCTAAAGAAGTAGAATATTTGCAAACTAAACTGCTAAATAAGTTTAATATTTGCAAACTAAACTGCTAAAGAAGTTTAATATTTGGAAACTAAACTGCTAAAGAAGTAGAATATTTGCAAACTGAACTGCTAAAGAAGTTTAATATTTGCAAACTAAACTGCTATATAAGTTTAATATTTGTAAACTAAACTGCTATATAAGTTTAATATTTGCAAACTAAACTGCTAAAAAAGCTGAATATTTGCAAACTAAACTGTTAAATAAGTAGAATATTTGCAGACTAAAAACTGGGACGGATCCATGAAATGGCTTAATAACTGCACAGATTTAAACACAATTGGTTTTCTTCTAATGCATTTAATCTAGAGAATTGAATCTAACTTGAAGAATAGATTTTCAATTAAAGGAAAACTGTCCCATCAATTATTGTTATTATAGACTTTTGGTTTTAACACTTTGATGCAATTCAGTAAAATGAAGATTTTTATTTATAAATTTAGGATACGTTACATTAAAATCTTGAAATTTTAGAGATATAAAAGATTTGACCCCCTTTAAAAAGTTTCAGTTTTTGTTTCCTTTATCTAATCCATTAAGTCCCCTGGTGCAAAAATTGTTAACGGTTTAATGCTGATTTATTAAAACCCTGAAATGAACATTGTAAATAATTATATTTTCTAATGATTAATCTTCAATACAACCTTGCAGATTTATTATCAAAATTTCTTCTAAAATTAATTTTCGTATTTTTTTTGCTACCAGAAAGGTGAAACAAGAAAGGTGAATAAGGAAATAAATTTTTAAAAATGTTGATTTCGCAACTTCAGATCTCACCTAATCTTTTTGGTTATTTCTTATATATGCATTAATCATTTTCGATTTTAGAAAATTATAGCTATTTAGTATAAATATATTCATAAACACTTTTCATCAATACCACCCGGCAAGTCGTTGGGATTTTAAAAATGTGGTGTTATAGAGGACGTGAGTCAGACTCTAATAAAACGCATAGATAACTTCCAGTATATATATTTCTTATAACTTATTACTAGAGGGTTCAGAACTAGAGTCAATATCGATATCGCACGTGTAGACTGTAGAGATCATATCAGTGCTAATGCCCCGTATCCGTTCTATCTCATTCTGTTGAATCTTGTGGAACTAGTTTAACGCGGCCAGGCATCGTCTTCCACAGTGTAGTATTTTTACAATCTTTAAACTTAACGAAAACGCCAAAAAGTTCTGCCAAAATTTAATATTCAAAGCCAACATTTTCGAAATATTTGACAAATCCATCAATTTCATCCGACATGTCACTTCTGTTTATTGACCAACCATCAGACGTCTCTAAGATATCATGTTTGGAGCACCCTGTGTACAGCTGCTGTATTCTTAGCAAACAAATGAATGAGTGCAAAACTTTTATGTGGATATCCGGCTAAGCCTTTAGTATTCCCCGGCCTAACCGGATATTTCATACAAAAGTTTTGCTCCCTGATTTATCTATATTTTTAGGATTAACAGCCATTGAAGCTTGGATGTTGTCCTGTATTCTCTTTGTATTTGGAGCTCTTGTCGGTAAATGTTTTCAAAGTATTTTTCCAAAGGAATTGAGTCTTTGTAACAAAATCAAATATTTAAACCTTAATATCTTTTTAACTCAATGTTGTAAACCTTTGATATTTCAAACTCAGATTAATTGATCTAACAGAACTCATAGTTTGAAATATCTAAGGTCTGCAACATTTGGTTCCAAAGATATAATGATTAGAAAATCAGAGTTTGTGGCAAAGACTCAATTCCTTTAGTTTTAAGATTTAATTTGATCTTTGTCTTCTTGAATTTTAAGTTGAGAACAATTATCCCCATACAGTGAATAGGAATTGAGTTTTTGCCACACACTCTGATTTTTCAATTCCTATATCTTTGCAGCCCAATGTCGGTGACCTTTCATATTTCAAACTATAAATTCTGTGAGATCAAATAATTTAAGTTTAAAATATTAGAAAAATTTAAAATATTAGATTAGAAAAATTGAGTTTGTGGCAAAGACTCCATTCTTTTGTTGTAAATGAATTAGTTTTTCGACTTTAGTAAGTATATGACACACTTAAAGGATTTTTTTCAATTAATTCGTAATTAATTCATTTTCAGTTTCGTACCACAACATTTTAAAGATTTCTTTTACACAGAAGACGGTATTAAACCTCACAAAAGGGGAGTTTAGAAGTCTAATTTTTAATGTACTTACCTTTGATGTACCTTTCTGTTTTTACAGGGTTACCCACAAAATGTGAGACTGCAGAGACAAATGTAAAAAATGTATTTTGTCACTTTTGTCTTCCAATAATGCTTTCTTTGCAAAATAACATGGCATACATACAATAGACTGAGTATATTGTCCTCAGAACATCAGAATTTAAGAGCTTATTGTGGTGCGCATGCCGCAATGAATTATAAGAAGAGAGATATTAGTGTATATTTTAGTGTTAGGTTAGGTAAGACACTTTCTGGGCCGCGCGCTGCGGCTAGGCCAGACTTGGGAGCCGCGCACCGCGGCTAGAACTGACACTCTCTCTGTCTTATAAGTAATTGCGGCATGCGCGCATAACTGTGTTTGGCTTTCTTTCTATATTTGAACCCTCCACATAATTATCTAGAATATGCTGTCATTCTGTTCCAAAGCCAGCGAGGGAAACCGAATCCAGTTCAAAATCATCTTAAAAGGCATTCACGGGTAAGGAGAAAATGTTTCCCTAGTCATCCCTCCCCACCCACCCCCATTCTTTTTCACAATCATTATCCACCACCCTATGCCTATATACTTGCCCTATATCCGACCTAACCCCCTTCCATCCCGGACCACTCCTACTCATAGCATTTATACTTGTCCTAAATCAGACCTAACCCCCTTCCATCCTGGACCACCCCTCCTCATTGCCTTTATACTTGCCCTATATCCAACCTAACCCCCTTCCATCTTGGACCACCCCTCCTCATTGCCTTTATACTTGCCCTATATCCGACCTAACCCCCTTCCATCCTGGACCACCCCTCCTCATTGCCTTTATACTTGCCCTATATCCAACCTTACCCCCTTCCATCCTGGACCACCCCTCCTCATTGCCTTTATACTCGCCCTATATCCAACCTAACCCCCTTTCATCCTGGACCACCCCTCCTCATAGCATTTTTACTTGCCCTATATCCAACCTAACCCCCTTCCATCTTGGACCACCCCTCCTCATAGCCTTTATACTTGCCCTATATCCAACCTTACCCCCTTCCATCCTGGACCACCCCTCCTCATTGCCTTTATACTTGCCCTATATCCAACCTAACCCCCTTCCATCCTGGACCACCCCTCCTCATAGCATTTATACTCGCCTTATATCCAACCTAACCCCTTCCATCCTGGACCACCCCTCCTGATAGCATTCATAATTGCCCTATATCCGACCTAACCCCCTTCCATCCTGGACCACCCCTCCTCATAGCATTTATACTCGCCCTATATCCAACCTAACCCCCTTTCATCCTGGACCACCCCTCCTCATAGCATTCATACTTGCCCTTTATCCGACCTAACCCCCTTCCATCCTGGACCACCCCTCCTCATAGCATTTATACTCGCCCTATATCCAACCTAACCCCCTTTCATCCTAGACCACCCCTCCTCATTGCCTTTATACTTGCCCTGCATCCAACCTAACCCCCTTCCATCCTGGACCACTCCTCCTCATAGCATTTATACTCGCCCTATATTCAACCTAACCCCATTCCATCCTGGACCACCCATCCTAATAGCATTTTTACTTGCCCTATATCCAACCTAACCCCTTTCATCCTGGACCACCCCTCCTCATAGCATTCATACTTGCCCTATATCCGACCTAACCCCCTTCCATCCTGGACCACCCCTCCTCATAGCATTCATACTTGCCCTATATCCAACCTATCCCCCTTTTCCATCCTGGACCACCCCTCCTCATAGCATTTAAATTCGCCCTATATCCGACCTAACCCCCTTCCATCCTGGACCACCCCTCCTCATAGCATTTATACTCGCCCTATATCCAACCTAACCCCCTTCAATCCCCTCTTCAATGAAATTCATTGGAAACTCCTTGTTTCGAGTAGAACTACACTAAAGTAATTCAACTTTTTATTTGCAATTAAATGAGCACTTCTACCCTTTTACATTAATGGATTTCGATCTGAAACACGGATTTAATTCTATTTGACTTCTACTTACTTTATTTATATAGTCAATGGGAAGTTTGAGGGTTTTTTGTAGTTGGTTTATTCTGCGGGGTGTTTTATAGTTTGTTTATTCTACAGGTGTCTTTTATAGTTTTTTTTCTATATTAGCTTGGGAACCCAGCTTTGCCCAGGGGAGTCATAGTAAGTCCCACCGTTTACCTGTGCTTTGTCGTAAATTATGATTTTAGCTATTTTTCCTTTAAAAAGTGGACTCACTCAACTTAGAATCAAATGGACCGCCCTACTTTTCAAAGAATCTATCACTATCTCTACCTTGTTTGGATTCCGCTTAGCAGACTACAAACCTGACTACTTTTTACTCTATCCAAGTATAAATCAGTTTCAAAGGTTCAATCCTCAGAGAAAGAATTGCTTTATTCGTGGAATAATACGAAGATGTTTATAAATGAACTGTATACATTTTATGAATATAATTTTGTATAAAAATAACTTGTTTAAATATGTATACAGGGTGTATAGGCTAATTTTATTATGTATACAGGGTGTATAAATTTAATATATATGTATACAGGGTGTTTTAACCTGTTTAAATATGTATACCGGCTGTATTTATTTGTTTTATTCTGTATACAGGGTGTATTAACTAGTTTTAATATGTATACAGGGTTTATTAACTAGTTTTAATATGTACACAGGGTTTATTAACTTGTTTAAATATGTATACAGGGTGTATTAACTTGTTTTAATATGTATACAGGGTGTATTAACTTGTTTAAATATGTATACAGGGTGTATTAACTTGTTTAATATGTATACAGGGTTTTTCATCTTGTTTAAATATGTATACAGGGTATACATATTTAAACATAAAGATAAACTAATTTGAAGAGAACCTCTAGTTTGAAAGATAAACTAAGATAAGAGAACCACTAGTTTGAAAGATAAATAAGTTAAAAAAAACACTAGTTTGAAAAAAACTAAGTTGAAGAGAACCACTAGTTTGAAAGATAAATAAGATAAGTTGAAGAGAACCATTAGTTTGAAAGATACACTAAGTTGAAGAGAACTACTAGTTTGAAAGATAAACAAAGTTGAAGAGAACCACTGGTTTGAAAGATAAACTAAGTTGAAGAGAACCATTAGTTTGAAAGAAAAAATAAGTTGAAGAGAACCACTAGTTTGAAAGATAAAATATGATAAGAGAATCACTAGTTTGAAAGATAAAGTAAGATAAGAGAACCACTAGTTTAAAAGAAAAATTATGTTGAAGAGAACCACTAGTTTGAAAGATAAACTAAGATAAGAGAACCACTAGTTCAAAAGATAAATTAAGTTGAAGAGAACCATTAGTTTGGAAGATAAACAAAGTTGAAGAGAACCATTGGTTTGAAAGATAAATAAGATAAGTTGAAGAGAACCATTAGTTTGAAAGATAAACTAAGTTGAAGAGAACCACTGGTTTGAAAGATAAACTAAGTTGAAGAGAACCACTAGATTAAAAGAAAAATTAAGTTTAAGAGAACCACTAGTTTGAAAGATAAAATATGATAAGAGAATCACTAGTTTGAAAGATAAAGTAAGATAAGAGAACCACTAGTTTAAAAGAAAAATTATGTTGAAGAGAACCACTAGTTTGAAAGATAAACTAAGATAAGAGAACCACTAGTTCAAAAGATAAATTAAGTTGAAGAGAACCATTAGTTTGGAAGATAAACAAAGTTGAAGAGAACCATTGGTTTGAAAGATAAATAAGATAAGTTGAAGAGAACCATTAGTTTGAAAGATAAACTAAGTTGAAGAGAACCACTGGTTTGAAAGATAAACTAAGTTGAAGAGAACCACTAGATTAAAAGAAAAATTAAGTTTAAGAGAACCACTAGTTTGAAAGATAAAATATGATAAGAGAATCACTAGTTTGAAAGATAAAGTAAGATAAGAGAACCACTAGTTTAAAAGAAAAATTATGTTGAAGAGAACCACTAGTTTGAAAGATAAACTAAGATAAGAGAACCACTAGTTCAAAAGATAAATTAAGTTGAAGAGAACCATTAGTTTGGAAGATAAACAAAGTTGAAGAGAACCATTGGTTTGAAAGATAAATAAGATAAGTTGAAGAGAACCATTAGTTTGAAAGATNACTTCACATCTAGATGAAATGTAAGGGGGTCGGCGTCCCTCCCTCCTGGAAAAAAGTCTTTACACCGATAACTTTAAAGTTTGGGTGCTAAGAGGGTGGAAAAAATGCGTAAAAAAGGGTAAAAAATTTTTTTTTTGTTTTAAACAAATATCAAAGTGTGCCGTTTCTACATGAATTTTTCAAGGTCTTTTCAAAAATATAGTTTTTAGATCTGTAGCTTTAGTCACAAAAAAGTTATGGACTATATTAGATTTTTTTTTCACAGACCGGACGTTGTTTCCCGCCCTGTACCCTACCCTATAAATTTATAAATTTAACAAAAAATCCTTTAAACTACTATTCATACTATTCAAATCAATTTAGAACTTTTTCACTAAGCTACAAACTTCTCCGTAGTTTTAACGATTTACCCAATCAAAAAAATGTTAGGCAAATCGGTCAAGATATATAAGATTACTACTATACTATAAACAGGGTTACCCTCAAAGGATGAGACTTCAGAGACGACTGTTCAGAATAAATGCTGGTTGTTTTCTTCAGTCATGATTCCCTGCAACTGTAAACTTCTTTCTTTCTTTGCCAAATCATTAAATGATAACACATTTAAAGACCACATAGAAGGAAAAAGACTTAACTTAAAGAAGTTGGAATCGTCATATTTAAAGAGTTTTATGTCGTCTTTACAGTCTTATTCTTTGTGGGTAACCCTGTATATTAAAATATCTTGACGTTGCAGTCTGCAGAACCTATATTTACAAAAATAGTTACTATTTCTAGAAACCTAATTTTATTTCTTACTATTTGTAACTAATTAAGACAGGGCTGTGGAAAATAAAACATGTATGATTAGGAGGTTGCCGTAAAAAGAAAGAAGTAATATTTGGGTTCCGTTATTTTGATGCCATTCCTGTAGAATGTTTCTAGCAATGATATTTACATAAACCAGAATTACGTGATGACATTAAAGTTTGATGTTTTTAAAATCCTACGTTATCAAGATCAACAGTTTGTTATTACAAATTTATGTTGAAAAGATAATTCCACCAAGCACTTCTACAACTTAAATAAATAAGCATAGATTTCCTAAAAAAACAGAAGATTGATAGAAAACGTAGTTTAACTAATTATTAGTCTTGTTCGAAAATTTACTTTCCCACTTATTTTAATACAATTTTGATTAAATGTAACAAGCTCTCTTTTGAAAAAAAACTTTTATTCTTCAATAGAATGTAAAAAGTTTTAAGTGGAAAAATAGTTTAATTTATGCATTCATGATGAAAAGTAGATAATTAATTTATAAAGTTTAATTTTAATATTTGTAGACACCCCTATGCGGAGAAAGGTCAGTCCTATGTGGAGAGCGATATATCAATGCT